TGCACTTGCTTGGGCGCCACCAACCAACGTGGACATGTTGGTTCTTAAGAAATAACTAATTTAGATATTTGTTTTTTTTTTTTTAATTTGTATTTTAAAAAGTATAGATTAAGAGCTTTGAAAAATAAAAAATAATATTTAATTTTATCTATATGATATTAATATTAAAATTAATGTTTATTTTTTATTTTTATTTTAAAAAAATTTATTATAAAAAATATTCTTAATCAATGTATTTAAGATATAAATTTAAAAAATTATTAAATAGATTGTATGCGGATGTAATTAGGAATTTTGTTCCCAGGACTATTTTTACCATGTAGCTAATATATTATCTCTCTCCCTTATATATATGTATATAAAATTTAGAATAGGAAAAAAGAAAAATCAGTCGTCCTCACATTCTTTTTTTTTTTTTCTTTTCCCTTTAGATTAAAGTTTTATGTTCTTATTTTTTCTTTACAATCAAATACTAAAATTACTAAACTATTAATAATAAATAAATAAACATAAAAAAAACTTTTTATTAAGAATATTTTAAAAATTTTAGTATTTAAATTATACTTTTTATATACAATTTTGCTTGAAAATTATTTTTCTATTTAGATTGATAAATAAATAAAAAACTTAAAGAGTTGTAATTTAATTAGTAAATGATTTACTCTCTACTTTATCAATCAATATTTAAGCCCTACGATAAAGTATTAACCATTCTCAATCTCAACTCATAGGGACAATCTCATTCTCTATGGATGAAGAGCTAACTACAATGATGCATTATTTACTCTTTCCTTCATAGATTAATCAATATTTAATTCTTTAAAAAGTTAATAAAAATTAATTTTTAATAAAATTTTTAATCATAATGTAAATATTTTATCTTTGAGAAGATCGATAAAGAATTAGTCATGATACCTAGACAACATAATTAATACAGAAACACTTAAAAAGTTAACCAAAGAAGTAAAAACAAAAATTTAATAGTGGTTAAAGATGACACATGGCAACACTCACAATGAGAAAAATGGATGAGTTATTATGTTTAGTGTTCTTTTTTTTTTATTTCACGATTTCACATGATTAGGTCGACAGGTAAAGTCGTTAGCAGTTAGAAAGTAAAAGGAGGGTAAAAGGGAAACTGGTCTCCACTTTATGGGACATTTCTTCATACTATAATAGTTAGTAGTGCCTTACATTGTGGTGGCTATAACTAGTTATAAGACACTATCCCCTTGTAGGGTCACATTTTCTTTATGTTGCTTTTTTTTTGTTTTAAGCTTCGGGAATTAGGGAAATGGGGAGGGGAATAGGGACAAAGGTATTTAACCCCAATTGTGTGGAAGAAAGATTTATACACTAGTGATTCTTTCTTTATGTTGCTTCTTGATTAGTTGATTTCTATAACCTTTAATTCCACACTATACTATAGTTTTTTTCAATCCCTAAGCATGTATACTTGAATTTTTCTTTGGTAAATTCCTGATGACCCAATATGATTAAAGTCAGAGAAAGCATCAATTCAGTAATCGAGCACGAAGCCGAAAAGGGGGATTAAGCAATATCTAACACACAAAAAAATACAAAGAAAGAAACACTTATCTCCAATTTAGTCATCACTAGATTCATTGCATTAGGAAACAAGCAATGATTTTTTAAGACTCAGCAGTTTTGTCTTCATTCGAGATCATGATGCTTTTAAATTCACTAGCTTACTAAACTATTGGCTTTAGTGTTTAGTAATTTATACTTTAAATTATAAATAAAAAATAATTATTAATTATTAGATGTTAACCATTAACTCTGAATTATATTTGAAGAATTAATTTGAATCCCCCTTATGGACTTCCTAATGAAATTAAAAATCCAAAAGCACCAAAAAGGTTAGGAACCCAAATAATCTTAATTTACTAGATCACCATATATTAATCATATTTTGCAAAAGTCACAACTTTGCATTGAAGGCATGCTACCCTAACACTTAATATATTTTTTTTTTCAACATATTACAATTATTTATAACTTAATCAGGAGATGAGAGAAAGGGTTTTCATGAAACTCGAACGTTCAACCCACAAAAAGTGAATAGTTCTAACCCATGGTCAAATACCACCAAACCGAAACGAACCATTCCCCTAACACTTAATAATTGGATAAAGGAATTATAAAGTAATTTATGAATGTCATTGCATCGTTGTTGAAACAGATCTCACGTGGTGGTAGGCCGGTTTTGTGTGTCACGGGAGTACTCATGTTATCAGCATTAGGAATAAAAATATCAATGTGGAAAATATAAAATTATGGGAAGGGTGTCCAAGGTCCAAACCGTTTGTAAGGGATAAAGATAAAGGATAAACAAAAGACACAGGTTTTTCCCAACATAGTCCCCCAGCCATGTTCATTGTCTCTGTCAGAACCAGGTTTTATCAGGTTGGTTTTGTGGTTTTTTAATAATAAAATTACGTTGTATATAGGGCTTTGCTAGTGTGAACCATTGTTGTCACATGGGATTTCAACTGGGTTTGCATTGGGATTTAGGAGTGGAACAAGACATTTCTTAATTACCACACGCACAAATACAAGTTTATATATATATATATATATATATATATATTAGTTATAT